TTTAATGGAAACTATTTAATTGAGACAATGATTGAAATGACAATTATTTATGAACAATGACTTTTAACGACAATTTAATAAAGAGAGAACGAGAACAAGAAGGTTTCCCTTAAGCGGGTATTTCGGGCGGTCGTGTGCAAAGCTCGAAGGGTGAGTTCGTTTGAGCGCCACTAGCTTTCGCAGCAAAGCTAGAACACTCAGCGGTGGAATGCTACCGAAATATCTACTCATTTCTTTTCCATGATAGCTCATAAACTGACTTGAATGATGAGATAATAACGTCTTAACGTCTGCTAACCGTTTGATCCATACCCTCCGTTAATTACTTAATTAAAAGAAAATTTCCAGGAAATACAAATTAATAATATGCAACTAGTAGCAATACTCGCCCCAAATACCAGCGAGTCTATGAAGTCGCCACCACGTGCTGCCGATGCCTACGTGCTAGGTCCAGATTTCATCGAGACCGTCCCTGGCTATCCAGTCCACAATTTCAGTGAGTGAATATCCCCAGTCGGGAACCAGGAGAAGGCTGATGGCCCCAARCGGACGTTCAAGTAGCGGGCAAGGTCTACCACACAGCAGAATATGGTGGACTCGGGGGTCAAGGTGACGGTGATCGMCTATCTTGGGCAATTTCTCGTACTTRATTCCCCTTCGTTRAGTGACCCTGCTAGGTCCATTCCTCGTCCCTTTCCATCAATAACGGTATCAACCACCACGTTGCCAGACAAAACCATGATAAAAACATGATGTTTGGAAAAGMGATACAAATATCCAAACATTAAAATTCAAATAATCCCCGAAATATTATTAACCTAATCTRACAAACGTGCTTACTAAATCCAACAAACAACGGGTCAGCAGACAGGTGAACTACTGGCTAAATTTMATTTTTAACCGTTACAAAACGTAATTTGAAAAGAARYTTACATTTGTGAACGATTGTTGCTCAGTTTAAGCATACTCAGATAAAGTTTTATAAAATCAAAACTTTCTGACATTCGAGAKAATAGCATCTATCCAAGAAGTAGACTTTCTGTAATTCACTGCCAAAAATGCAYGGGAAYTCCCATGCTATTACGGTTGAGCGTATAGCCTTAAGGAGCCGCCCGAGGGCAAAAGGTCAATGGAACTTGACCTTTTGCGCCGTTATGAGCCGAACCCGACACACCWTTAGAATTAAACKAAACATGTGGTAAGTTCTCCGTCTTAACTAATCCSACGTATTTATTACATTTTTTAAAATTCTTCAAAATTTAAATAAGTTTAAGGTGGTTCRSTMTTCAACAAAAACCCGTTGTTTTGGATTCTTAAAGTATCAGTAYCACTCTAAATATGATAACATATTTTCGTCACATTTACAATTTTTTTTGGCGTTTGCATGTTTGAACAAATCATACTTTTTAATGGAGTCATTCAGCCCTGTG